GGACAGAAAGCAGCTTGTTAACTGCACCTTTTGCGGAATAATCTGTGCTAACAGTTCCTAATTTTAAGTCGATTGACTAGACAGAAAGCAGCTTGTTAACTGCACCTTTTGCGGAATAATCTGTGCTAGCAGTTCCTAATTTTAAGTCGATTGACTAGACAGAAAGCAGCTTGTTAACTGCACCTTTTGCGGAATAATCTGTGCTAGCAGTTCCTAATTTTAAGTCGATTGACTAGACAGAAAGCAGCTTGTTAACTGCACCTTTTGCCGTCTCTTAGACTACTCTTATCAGACCAAATAGTGGGAATGCACTGTAACTTTTATAACGCACCCATGGCTCCAAAGTGCGGAGTGTAATGTTTGTGTGTGTGTGTGTGTGTGACGGCAACAGGAAGATAACTATAGATCTCCAGCTCTACAGTTCGGCACGCTAACCATTGGGCCGAGAAAAGGGCAAGCTGCAAAGAAAACGTAAAGACACGCGTGTACAGCCAGACAGTGCATACACGTGAATAGGAATCCATATACACATCTGTAACCCTAACACGACGAGTACAATGATAAACTTTTTCAATTATATTCCACCAGTTTAGAGACCAATAAATTAATAAATTATGTACTCGTTATTGGTATTACATATGATAAAAAGAATAACATTTATTAATAACCTTTTTTTTTAGTTACCTTTTCTGCTAACTCCTACAAAGAGGATCTGTTAGATCTCACCTAAGAATATAGATTCTATACCTCGCGTGCCGTTAGGGCATTTGTATCGATTTATTTTTTACATGATATATCCAGTAGCCTTCTTTCTTCTTCATTGTAGTAAATCAAATCTAATTATAATTTGAAAACGAACATTTCATAATTTATCAGTGATAACTTTATTAACCACTGTTGCTTATTTGTTTGACAACTGGCTACCTTTGACCATTGGTGGATTTTCTCAATCGATATAACTCTTTATACATATTACACAAACTTATAGCTTTGTTTGTTGTTAAGCATAAATAGACGCAATGGACTATCTGTGCTGTGCCCTTCACGGGTATTTAAACCCAATTTATAGTGCTATAAGCCTTTAGACTTGCTGCTGAGCCACTGGCGGGCACCTACAGCGTTATACCTACGAAGCTCGTTTGTTTGTTTAAGAGCGAAACCACATTTGGCTATCTGCTGTGTCCCCTGCGGGGAACCGAACCCCAAATTTTGGTGTTGCAAGTCCGAAAACTTTCTGCTGTTCCACCAGGGGGTTCTTCACTCATGTAATATTGAGCATTTGAAAATATTTGGTCTAATATGTAAACATTTTGTATTGCAAGTTAAAAGTTCATAAATAACGCCCCCCAGTGGCACAGCGGTATGTCTGCAGACTTACAACGTTAGAAACCGGGTTTCGATACCCGTGGTGGGCAGAGCACGGATAGCCCATTGTGTAGCTTTGTGCTAACTTCAAACAAACAAACAAACGTAAATAATAGTACGAGTAAAATAATAAAACGTTACTTTGGAAGACGTGAAACAATACCAAAGAAATATATAGTTAAAAACGCAGAGGCGACAAAGATATCGAAATTAAATAATAGGTTGAACAATTGCCATGTTTTTTGTTAAATATTTTTTTTTCTTAAATAAGGATGACGTTTCATGCTAGCGCTCTTCATCAGATCGTACAGCTTACAACAAAGGAGCATGCGCAAAAATCAAAGAAATTGCGTGCGTAATATTTGTAATGTTGAACGTGAAAGTTCTGTGTAAAATTACACCTCTTACATAAAAATTACGAGTCACGAATAGATAGAAATGAAAGCAGTAAACATTTGAACAAGAAATGTAAAAATGAATACAGGAAAGAAAAGTGTTCATTTTAACCAGATGGTTGTAGGTTTCCCAGATTGTAGATTAATCTCTCATTCCCAGTCGTTCTATTTAGTGAACGTCTGTTGGATGTGCATGTTTCTCACATTAATCTTCTAGCGAAACTGTCTGTAATATTGTTTATAAAGTCAAATGTTAGAACTGACAACCTATTTCTGCCTCTCTGTGTGAGGGTCGCGGGTTCGAATCCCCGTCACACCAAACATGCTCGCCCTTTCAGCCGTGGGGGCGTTATAATGTGACGGTCAATCCCACTATTCGTTGGTAAAAGAGTAGCCCTAGAGTTGGCGGTGGGTGATGATGACTAGCTCTAGTCTTACACTGCTAAATTAGGGACGGCTAGCGCAGATAGCTCTCGTGTAGCTTTGCACGAAATTCAAAAACAAACAAAAAACAAACTGTGTGTGTGTCTGTCTGTCTGTCTTTCTAACACAGATGTTTCTTTACTCTCAAGTTACTGACTTCTTTTACATTACATAATATTGAGTAACGTGGATTTACAGTGGTAATTCTAGGGTTAAACACTATCTTTAATGTGGTTTTTCATTCTTAGTCATAATTCATCTACATTACTCATGTCTCTAACGAAATAAGTACGAGTTTCGGTATGCTTTTTTACGTAGACTAATTTATGACAGTTTATTGTCACTAAAGTAAAACATTTGGTCAGTTAGAATGCAACATGACCCTCATATCATCTAACATATTTTAAAAACACTTTAAACATAAGATCTGTTGCGTCGAATTTTTTGTTTTTACAATACAAAAATCATACGAACGAATGTTTCGGACATTAATGGAAAGTTGAAATTACTGGAATCTTAGCTTCGAAAATCATGATACTTTTGATTAATTAGCTCGTGGTGGCAAGTGGTGATAATTAGAAACATAGCGTCCTGATTTTGTAACTCATGTACATAAAGGCGGTACCGGAACTACAGTAAAAATAACTCAAGAAAGATTTTAGATGAGTGAAAATAGATTGTCGGTTGTAAGTATGATAATAATAAAAAAAACAACAAAAAAACTCGTCTTTCATATCTAGGAAGGGCGTGAGTTATACTTCACAGAAATTTAGACAAACATTTCGTGGTAAGTTATCTCCATCCACAGGGTATATATAAGCCGAGAAGAAGAACCGCTCTACACAGCCAAGGACTGCACTGGACATTTCGACGGTTAACTGTGGTGGTGTAACGGTTAGGCCTAAATTACAAGTATGACCATCCAGGAGAAACAGAACCACATCTTGAGTCTGTTGGAGCACTTGAACAACTTGACCAAACACCAGTTGCCAGTGGACCAGAGGGACTCGAGGCTAAAAGATGTTGGTCATCTGCATCGTGGCGAGCTTTTCTCGCTTTTTCACATGGAACACCTGATTGAAGCCACTCATTTGTACGAGACGTTGTTCAGTAAGTAGATCTCTTGTCCAGCGCCATCTACAGTAATTACTAAAATAGTTTATTCTAAGTCTATAACAGTTTACCTACCGTGCATTATATTCTATGTCCTAACCTTCCCGAGAGATAGTACATATAAGTATAAAAAACAAAGAAGCATTTGTCTAGATGAAAACATAAGTCCTCCAGAAAGATTCTGCCTCACCATTTGAGAAATTATAACTAAAATTCGAGGTAAGATTGCTGCAGCGGGCACAGCGCAGATAACCCATTGTATAGTTTTGCGCTTAAAACAAACAGCACAGATATTCTATGTTTAAAATATCAATTCCATCATTCAGTTTATTACATGGCAGATGTGCCTCCGGTAAGAACTTAACACCCAGTATTTACTACCTCGATAACTCAATTCACCTGGACCTCCTTTGTGGTATTACAACGCTAAAATCCGTCCGGGGTTCGATTTCCGTGGTGGACACAGCAGATAGCCCAACGTGGCTTTGCTCTAAAATAAAAGCAAACAAACATTGGATTACTATGGTTTCTGGAAATTCCACTCCTCTTCAATAATCAATTTAGTTTTTATTATTTTTAAACAACTTGTTGACTGAATAATACACAATAATAAATTAGTAACATCAATAGCTATTTCTTCTATCTTCAAGTAAGTCTGGCATGGCCAGGTGGTTAGGGAGCTCGACTCGCAATCTGCGGGATCGAATCCCCGTCCCACCAAACATGCTCGCCCTTTCAAGCGTGGGGTCGTTGTAATGTGACTATTCGTTGGTAAAAGAGTAGCTCAAAAGTTGGCGGTGGGTGGTGATGGCTAGCTGCCTTCCCTCTAGTCTTTCACTGCTAAATTAGGAAAATTCAAACAATTCTCTTCATTCCAGTATCTACTTTCACAATTATTAATTTTTCTCTTAACTTTCTAGCCGAAGAGAGGACGTAACCCTCTAGTACCCAGCATGCAATGACATGACACACTTACTTACTTTCATATATGTCAGAAACTCACATTTGTCCTACCTTAAAATTGGAAACAAAGTCTCGAGTCCAATTTTCTAATCAGTTGATATTTCCTCGGGATCCTATTACTTTTTGAAGTCCTTACACTCATTATCTGTGCATCTAATGGCCCACAGTTATCAAATACTATAAATATTTACGACTTATTTTAACGAATAACAAAAAAAAAAAAGCGGACATATTCAATATTCTGTGAGATAATTTAAGATGTTATCACCTTGGAAAAGAAGAGACAAACACTGATTTGTGGGAGTTTTATATTCTAACAGAAGAAATTGTTGTAGGAGACGTGATCTAAAGTAAAACATATCTAAGGTTAGTTAAGAATTCAGACAATACACTCGCTGTTCGTGAATCGCACGGTTTAAATCTTTCTTTTGATGGTATTGGAAATGGACATTAATTACCCAAGTGTCCAAATTCAATTTCAGATGCTAAAGACTTCGACGACTTTATCCACCTATGTGAACAAGCAAAGGAAGTGGTGAACGAAGGGATGTTCGCATACGCTGTTTCTGTAGCCGTTCTCCACCGAGACGACTGCAAAGGTCTGGCCGTGCCTCCCATCCAGGAGATCTTCCCAGACAGGTTCATTCCAGCTGAGACAGTCACAGAGGCCATTAAGGCTGACCACAACCGTCAGGACCACGTGAGTGTGAATTTTTAGATTGTTCTTCATCTGTCTAGACCCACAGTAACGTTAACAAACTTGAAACTAAGTTTTACCATAGAAACCAAGCTGATTTGATTTGATTTAAACCACAACAATTAAACAGATCAGTGGAATCTGAAAAAAAAAACTTACACACGAGTGTCATAGTAACCACACGGATTTGATCTTATTTAATAGTAGCAACAATTAAACTGATCAGTGATTACCATAGCAACTAAACTGGTTTAACCTTATCTAACCCGAAGTAACCACAACAGTCAGTGGAATCTGAAATTCCTCTCACACATGATGATCACAGTAATTATTATGATGCCAAATATTAAATCATTCTTACTATGCACGCCTTCAGAAATATTTTAACATTCTTATCGTCATCTTTATAAGCCTGTATTATCTGTGATCATTCACGAGGGACAATAATTTATACATGATCTCCAAAACATCTGTTTCGGTAAGTTCAGACACTGAGTGACTCAAAATAGTGCAGAACTCAGAGCACGTGGTTCTAAATGCATGTTTTAATACTAAACATCACATTCAAGAGTCAAGTAAACCAGCCAGATATCTATCGCCTACATATCTTCACTGACATTTCTACGATCTAGTGGAAAACAGTTATTGACTTTACAAATGTCGTCCTCATAAATTATGAAAATATTGCCCTTAAAATATACTGCATAATACGTTTTGTATGATGGATACTTTCACAGAATTTCAAGTTCTAAATAAACCGTTATTAAATTAGTACGAAATACTTGCTGTTTTCTTTCTTCTCTTATTATACAAAAAAGTTGACTTTTAATAAGTTTGCTTGGAAGGGTCGTTAAAATCTATTAGGAGCTATTGCTTTTAGCTTTTCATACCTAGTATATTTTATGTTTTCGTTTTGTACTGATGTCTGAAAAGCTACTTTTTTTAATGTTAATGTACACTTGAAGCTGTTTTTTATTATTTGCTCTACAGGAAACAAAGTTTGAAATTATCATATTTAACAACGAACTTGTTATTTTTCAATGTTTGGATCTAAAAAGAGTTATTGCTTAATAGGAATACTTATCAATTATTATATCCAATAAGATCTTTTGTTTGACGCGAATATTTACTAATTATTATCCAATAGGTTAATAGGAATGCTTATCAGTTATTATATCCAATAAGAGCTTTTGTTTGACGCGAATATTTATTAATTATTATCCAATAGGTTAATAGGAATACTTATCAATTATTATATCCAATAAGAGCTTTTGTTTGACGCGAATATTTATTAATTATTATCCAATAGGTTAATAGGAATGCTTATCAATTATCATCCAATAAGAGCTTTTGTTTGACGCGAATATTTATTAATTATTATCCAATAGGTTAATAGGAATACTTATCAATTATTATATCCAATAAGAGCTTTTATTTGACGCGAATATTTATTAATTATTATCCACTAAGTTGAGAGGAATACTTATCAATTATCATCCAATAAGAGCTTTTGTTTGACGCGAATATTTATTAATTATTATCCACTAAGTTGAGAGGAATAGTTATTTTATTTAATCTTGCTATTTAATATAAGTTTCAATGTTAATATTTCATTTTAATTTTAATCTTTCGACAACCATTAGGAAGCTTTGACAGTTGTGGCTCATGATACTGGAAACATCCTAAATCCAGAGCAGCATCTGGCTTATTTCCGGGAGGATATCGAAACCAACGCACACCATTGGCATTGGCACATCGTTTATCCAGCCACCTGGGACTCGAAAGTGATGCACAAAAAGAAGGACAGGAAGGGAGAACTGTTCTTCTACATGCATCAGCAGATGTGCGCCAGGTAAGAACTTATCACCCGGTAACCCTTACTAACCCAATTACCTGGTCCTGCGGTGGGACAGCGGTAAGCTTACGGACGCTAAAATCTAGGGTTTGAATCCCCGCGGTGGACACAGCAGATAGCCCAATGCGGTCAATCACTTGTACCAGTGTATTATACTAAAGTACGAGTAACGTCCATATTAAATGTCTTGTGAATCAATATTAGTTTAAGTAGGAACAGCAACACATAAGGAGCAGGAAGGGGTATTGGTTAAAAACAAAGATTTTTCGTGATAAATAACATGAGCGATTCTTACATCGAAAAAAAAAGAAATATTTAAAATTTCCAACTTCAATGGGTAACCCACTTGAATGTCAAACTACGTTTACATGATAATTATATACATGTATTTATCTTTATCATAAGTACAAAACTCAGTAACCATCGATTAAGTAAACACGAAATACAAAAATAAGTTGCTGTTTTGTTTGAGTAAAGCTCTACACAATGGACTATCTGCGCTCTGTCATTCGTGAAAAATTGAGCCTTGAATTTTAGCGTCGTATGTTTAAACTCACCGCTGACCCATCGGGAGACTAAAAAGGTATAAGATCAAACCAAAAAATCGTATTACACGACATGTAGTGGATGGTTTTGTCGTTTTTGATTTACTTTCTATAAAGGATAAAGGAAATTTTAGGGGGGGGGAGGTATTCAACTGGGAATGTTGAATGAGCGCCATTTACATGTTTGGAGCTGGTATTTCGTGTAGTAAACGTAAGTCTTAAAGTTAGATGAAGTTCTTTGTATACAGTTGCTATCAGCTGGTGTTCTATATATTCGTAGGCATTGTACTTTTTTTTTTAACATCTGGCCAACAACTTAATGACTTTTCGCGTCAGTGAAGCTTTCAAAACATAATAGCAATGACCACAACTCCAAACCTGTACAATTTTAGGTGAATACATTTAGTAGCTCTGGTTTAACTGCCGAAAGTTGGCGAAGCATTTGAAAGTAATAGGTTAAAGATTCGGGAGGGGAAAAATTAAGTAAACTGGAAACTAGTTTTCCAATTTCCTCTTAATTCGTCCATTTTGGATTTTATCTCTCACAAGATGCTGCCTAAGAGGCCTTTCGTTGAGCTCGTCAGTGCTGGACCATAATAAATTGTTTGTTTGTTTGTTTTTAATTTATTGCAAAGCTACACGAGGGCTATCTGCGCTAGCCGTCCCTAATTTAGCAGTGTAAGACTAGAGGGAAGGCAGCTAGTCATCACCACCCACCGCCAACTCTTGGGCTACTCTTTTACCAACGAATAGTGGGATTGACCGTCACATTATAACGTCCCCACGGTTGAAAGGACGAGCATGTTTGGTGTGACGGGGATTAACCACCTTAGCCTTAACCACCTGGCCATGCCGGGCCTACCATAATAAATAAAAAAAATCTCTAAAATGCTACTTAATACGTGCAGTAAAATATTGTAAAAGTTACACTGTAAACGCCGAAAGCTAGCGAAACGTATCAAACCAATAGATTTGATTTGGTTTGAATTTCGTGCTAAGCTACTCGAGGGCTATCTGCGAAAAAAACCAATAGACCTAAAATTAATGATAAAATCACACGAACTCTAGATTTGTTTTTTGGACAAATGAAAAGAAACATGGAGAAAAATTCCATCTGTACTTCACGCAATTCGTATCATATTTAGAAGCTGGTTTTATTTACCTGTCTCCATAACGCAGCATCTAAACTTATATGAACGATGAATCTGTTTGTGATTGTTTTAGATACGACTGCGAGCGACTGTCAGTTGGACTTCAACGAATGTTACCATTCAGTAATTTTGAAGAGGAACTTGAAGGATACTCAGCCCATCTGACTTCCTTGGTCAGTGGTCTGCACTACGCTAGCCGTCCAGAAGGTATGCATTTGCACGACTTGAAGGGGGTGGTCAACTTACATGATATGGAACGGTGGCGGGAGAGAATTATGGATGCCATCGAAAGAGGACTGGTTTATGACGAGCATGGTCATGAGCATAAGCTGGAAGAACCTCATGGTATTGACATACTAGGCGCCATGATCGAATCCAGTCACGACTCCTTGAACCACGAGTTTTATGGTAGCATTCATAACTGGGGTCACGTGATGTTTGCCCGCCTACATGATCCCGACGGTCGCTATCACGTGAGTGAAAAATGAAAATGTTCATATATTTCTAACTATTTCATTGAGATTCTAAAAATAAAATAAAATAAAAACACAATCGTATGTGTAGAAAAGCAAATACGCACCTAAAAAAGTGAGAAAGGAAAACAAAAAACTTATGTACGTTCTTAGCATGATGAAAATATATTACGAAATACTTATAAAACATTGAACGTTTTAATGAAAACCTTGTTATTGACTTCGGAAACTCCATCTTCAAGTTCTTGGCACAGAATCTAAACAGAACATGACCATTGACGTCTAAGTAACAGATCAATTTCAATAAGATGGACCAATAAATCTTGGTGACATTAATTTTATTCAGTAAACTCATTCACTTTTATCTCGTGTAAATATGAAAAAGAAAGTCTGCGAGATTTATATATTAGCGATACGTTGAAAATTTCAAATCGAGTAAATAACGTGTGTTTGCTAACGAAATTCTTCATTACAACAGGATAACCCAGGAGTTATGAGTGACACCGCCACGTCTCTCAGGGACCCCATCTTTTACCGATTCCATAGATACATCGACAACATGTTCCAGGCGTACAAGGCTACTCTTCACTCCTATGAACATCACCAGGTAAGGTGTTCGAATCCCAAAACAAGAAGTCCCCGGACTATATCATTTTAACAGTAACTAAAAATAACGTACCTCTACTAGTTTCTTTTAAGTTAATGAAAACTAAAACGATTACAATAAAAGATAAAGAAACATTAAGATAACGAAAGAAAGATTAAAACTACAATAAAAAGTTTAAAAACTAGTAATATTGAAAACTATGGTTTCTGTTCAGAAGACATGTTTCAATTTTTTTCCCCCCCAGTTACTATCGCAAAACTACTCAGCTGATCGTACGGTGCTGTAGATGTGTGTGCTACAAATAATTATAATTATACAAATAAATAATTATAATTCAATACACTTTAGATGAGAAAGAGCAAAAAAGAGAGAGAGAGAGGTGGGTATACAGTACGAATTTGCCGTTTGCTTCACCAACGGTGTGTAAACAACAACCAGGATTGATTCTTAGTTCGATTGATATTTTCACATTTAGTGTACATCGAGCCTAAGTTGAGCCACACACACACACATATACAACAAATAGACAAAAATATCCAATGTTCAATTCCGTTTAATGCTCAGACAAAGTGAGTTTTCCTATCGTAACACCCCAAAACGAGGCGATGCCGTCACGACGATGTTATTTGATACATGTGTGTGTGTGTGGTCCAAATTCAAATATAGTTCACTGTAAAAAAAAAAAAAAAAGATTTTTGTTCATTGTCAATAAGGTTTCAGAAAAATCTTTAATATGAATTTTGAAACTCAACGTTTAGTGTTATAGCAGATAACTTTTGTATATAGTTACAGCAACGATAGATTCAATAGTTTTGTTTGTTCGTTGAATTTTGTGCAAAGCTACTGAAGGGCTATCTGCGCTAGCCGTTCCTGATATTGAAGTAATAGACTAAAGGCAAGGTAGCTAGTCAACACCACCAACTCTTGGGTTACTCTCTATCAATGAATAGAGAGACTGACCGTTACATTAAAATGTCCCACAGCTGAAAAGGCGTGTTTGGTGACGGGTTTGGATCCCGCGACTCGCACGTTATGAGTCGAAATTAAACATGATACATATATATATATATATATATATATATAGTATAAAGCCATTTCGAGGCATTGAAAACTTTTTTTTTGAAATAAGATAGAAAAAAAAATAGTTTAACAGTTTGCATTCCAGAATATTTTGCTACCCTAACATAACTAAGTACTTTTGTGTTCTGGTTTCTTCAGAAGCGTAACTTTAAGAGAGTGATATTAACACGATAAGGCAGAATATTATAACCTCAATTGATATTCGGAAACATTATAGCTGTTTACAGGAAGCAAGACGGTATTACAGTGAGAGTAGGGGTGTTTTTTTGTTGTTGTTGTTTTCAGTTTTCTTAGCATAAAATGTGTAGCCTATAGTGTTCGGAATTTTAAAAGTGAATAACGAAATCTGGATCTTTTCTACTGACGTTTTTTTCTCTTTACACAGAGACACATAACATTAAAAATAATTTTACTTATTACTTAAGTTTTGACAAGATTTGATTTCCCAACTGTGAATAAGAAGCACGAAATAAATGCAGGAGGCGAAAAATTCAACAAGAATATATAAAAAAGGAAAGAAAAACTTACATTATTCTGCTTTATTTTTTCTATTAGTTGATTTTCAACGGTGTTCAAATCGACAACGTCACAGTCAAAGCTAAACATACCAACGTTATTAATACGTACACGACCGAGTCGGAACTAGAATTGTCTCACGGTATCGATATGAAAGCCTCGACCAAGGTTTGTCAAGTTTTATGTTTTATAATGGCATGTAATTTAGCCTAAAAACAACAGTTCTGAAAATCATTTGTTCTCAGCTTACAGATACACACATTTGTTAAATAGAAACTGTTTTATGTCTATCAACCAACGGTATATAGTATAGATAGAACTCCAACTTTTCGTAACAAAAGTCATATTATCTCTATGGGGTTTTAGGTATGCCATATTTTGTTGGTATCATCAGTTTTTATACATATAATCCTAAAGAAAATATACCAAATAGTAGAAAAGTAATGCTAGTTTCATAACTTTAACATAACCAGAGATGCTCACTTAAAATTAAATATTTAATTTTTTAATAATTCTCAGTTTTTCAGTTAAGCCTACATTACTTCAGATAGTTGCATTAACTACTGTGTTACACTGTTAGTGTTACTGTAGTGTTAGCCTAAGCGATTTAGTAGGCCTACAATCACTCGAGTCGCAAGTCATGATGACTGGAATGTGATTATCTGTTGTCCTAATTCAAAAATTCCTAACGATTCGAAATAAAAACTATATATATATATGATATGCTACAATGAGAGACGCCTCACGAAATTACTTATCATTAAACACAGGTTAAGTACCACCATTTGGATCATGATAAATTTGAGTACAGTATCAGCGTAAACAATACCTCAGGTCTGGTGAAGCACGCCACCTTCCGCATTTTCTTGGGACCAAAATATGACGAACTTGGAAATCTGCTTACACCTGAACAACAGCGGCGTTTCTTTATTGAATTGGACAAGTTCCATCGTGAAGGTTTGTCATACACTATTCAGAAAATATAATCTTACCTTGAAGTATGTATACATATATATATATAAAGTATTAAACAAAACACAAGCGACATTTGATTTTGGATAATATGATTGTTGTGGCATGATACTAACCTTACACTTGTACTGTATGACAGAATAAGAGATAAAAATTATCAGCAAATATTTACCAAATTCAAGTTAGTTAATTTTATTTCTAGTCAGCGCTCGACCTTCTACGAGATAGTCCCTGATTTTATTATTTTTCTTATGTAAAATCAGTGTTTAACTTTTTGAAAGATCCCTTGTTTAAGGGGATGAACTAAAAAAATTCAGGTATTTTTTTTTAAATTAACGTAAGGTCCAATATTTACATAATTAGCTGTAGCGTCAGAGAATAATCCGGGGTGAGGTGGATATATGTAGTCAAGGCATTCTGGCCGTTAATTTTGACATTATTCACCTTTCAAAATATCTAATATAAACACAGTGATAACCCTTCGCTTGACATGGTCACTTTACTTAGCCTTTGTAGTCATTGTTATAATATAGTGGTCAGTTGACCCTGTGTTATCTGAATAGTTTCGTTATATATCCTAAAATATCTTATCATAAAGGCCATCGATCTGTCTATTGATTTTTTCAGCTTTAATAATTACTCTTCGTGTTTGAGTAGAGGACCACATAGGTCAATAGTTTTATGCAGCTTTGACTAAAACTAACCACCCATATTTATTGATACTATATCGACAGTGCCCAGTGGCGTATCCGTTATCACGAGGAGTTCCACGGATTCGAGTGTCACCATTTCTCATGTGCCAACTTTCGAAGAGCTGAAGGACGGAAAAGGAGTCAACCTAGACAACAGCGAATTTTGTAGTTGTGGTTGGCCCCAACACATGTTGATCCCACGTGGAAACCACCTGGGAATGGAATTCCAGCTCTTTGTCATGCTCACCGATTGGGAGCAGGATCAAGTTAGTGTTTGAATTTACCCAGACATTTCGCCAGTTTTGTCTAACTTTCTCTCTGTTTTTATACATTCTAAATATTATGCCAACTTTTACGTATGATTGTTAACTTTCCTATATGCCTTTAGTCCACACTAGTCATGTTTTCTTCAACCATTTAGATACACCAAAAGGTTACATCAGAAGCGAGTAAATCTACTTAAAGAGAAAGCTTTTAAAAAAATGAAATTTTAGATGTAATATATAGTATTATGGCGTAGTGTTTTTCTTAATTTGTGACACCAGTTTGATTATATAAAGTATTAGACACACATATTAAAAGTACACTCACACAAATAATCAAGAATTTGAAACTTCACACATTGCTTTTGTTATCAACTTAAAATAAGTAACCAATGCTTCACTGTTTAAAAAAAAAAACGTTTTGAAAGTGGACGAAGCTAAATAATAATATTAATTAAATGTTAAAATAACTCGGAACCAAACATAACCTAATAATGTAATAATTCAGTCTCTAGTTACATAATATATAGGTATAATTGTATAAATCCACATAAATAATTAATACGATATTAATTATTCTATTATACCCAGTAAATATTTTTAAATCTTGTTTTCTGTTTTTCCCACCAGGCTGGCAAAGATTTGGAACACCTTACTTGCGCTGATGCTGTGAGCTACTGTGGAGCCAGGGACCACCTGTACCCTGATAAAAAACCTATGGGCTTCCCCTTCGACCGTCCAATCAAAGCTCATACAGTCGAAGAATTCTTGACTCCAAATATGTCTTTGACCGATATTAAGATCCAGTACAAAGGAAGCAACTAAGAAAAAATCTTACAGCGTTCTAACAGTTCTAATCTATCTAAACGTCAATGTATTAATAGCTAACTACAATATTTTAGTGTTACACGACAGGTAAAGATTCTGACTATGTAAAAGATATACTATGGTGATGTATCTCTCTATTTGAAACAATATGAGAAATAAAAAAAGTTAAAATGATTTCGTTTCTCATTACTTCTCTTGTTTTTCGATTACACTAACATTCTTGAGAAACCAAATTATATAAAAAAATGTGAAAGATTTTGTTTTTCCTGAATCGATTTTTTTTACCATTAAACAAAATATTTTGGACGTAAAAAAAAATCGCGTTTTGAGACTTTCAGTTGAACTAAACTGGATTAGTGTACTTGCAGGATATCGATAGCTCTTGACGAAGCTGTAAAAGCTAAGTATTGAGCTAATAAAGATGCATTCTTAGAGATATAGGTCGTTATTTTATTTACCTTAAGAAAAATACTCATTTTCTTTAGGCTCTACTTAGTAACGTGAACCTAAACATATTTTCTCAACTTTGTTTTTATGAACCAAGTTTTAACGAAAGGTTTTACTTTAAACACGAAGATCCTAACAGTTCTCACATTTGAAACAATCCAGAACTGAATGAAATGTAATTAGATAACAAAGATTTAAGAAAAATCTACACAAAAATAATACGTGAGAGCAAAACGATATAACGAAACTGCTATCTCGTGAAGCCAGCGATAGCACCTGACAATCTCCATTTTCCAGCCCATATTCTCTCTCTCTGTTCTTAATATTGATTTAGGTATATGAACCAGGGGTACGTGTTCAGACACTTCCAGTCCTTCTTCGGCTCACACAGGGAAAGTAAATTTTGCTTGACTGGATGAGAAAATAGAAAATAAGTTAAGAGAAGAATAAAAAGAAAATGCACAAGAAAATGAAGACACGAAAATTAGAAGACTTGGTAAATACGAAATGGAGCAGCAGCAAGTCAAACATTAAGATATTCTGGAGTCAGGAAATAAAAGTACTAACATCAACATTAGCAAAAGTCCCAAGACAGGTGAAAAAAGTACAGATGGGAAGGAAACAATGAGGGAGTTGCAGAGGAAGAAGTAAACAAATGATCAGTGCAGTTAGGGAGGAGATGTAACAGTTTGGTGAAAAGTGGCAAACAATTTAAAATTAACTTAGAACTAGCAGAAGCTTTGGTAAAAGATGTAAGAATGACTTTCAAAGAGAGTTGTAGTTCTAATTGATGTTCTTCAAACCAGTTTACAGGATATTTGAGGCCACATCTGGATCGTCCTTCATTCAAAAGGGTTGTAGTTCCAACTGATGTTCTTGAAACAAGTTTACAGATATTTGAGGCCACATCTGGATCGTCCTCATCATCCAAAGAGGGTTGTAGTTCCAACCGATGTTTCTTAAAACAAGTATACAGATATTTGAGGCCACATCTGGATCGTCCTAATCATCCAAAGAGGGTTGTAGTTCGAACTGATGTTCTTGAAACAAGTATACAGATATTTGAGGCCACATCTGGATCGTCCCAATCATCTAAGGAGGCAGGATCTTAATCAACAGTTTATATGTCTGCGGACTTACAACGCTAGAATCCAGATTTCGATACCCGTGGTGGGCAGAGCACAGATAGCCCATTGTGTAGCTTTGTGCTTAATTACAAACAAACAAACAGTTTATTTAGCTGTACTAGGGGGTTTGAAACAGATCAGTATGGAATGATTAAGAGCAGGAACAGGAAGCATGAATTTGCTAGGCCTGATACAAAGTTACAGAAAAACTGTTTAGTCATTCTTGATTGAAATCCCGGATCTATCCATATTTAACTTTCTTAATTAGCACGTGGCTTCCAACCACTCAAAAACACGATGCGATTTTCTACTCGTCAGTAGCAATCGATCCAAAGCTTCATATTCAATCAACCCAATCGTTTATAAACTTGGTGAAATCTGTAGGTGAAAACCTTCACTGACTTATTGTATTATATTCACACCAATCAGGTTAGAACTTCTAAATTAACGGGTTAACTTTCAAATTAGACGAAAAAAAAAAGTATATCGACAACTCAAATTGACCACAATAATATCATTGTACAAAATAAAAACACCTCTAAACAATGTAACTACTATTAGATTCATTGTTATTATATCAAATGTTAAGTCCCCACGGTGGTTACAGCCGATAGCCCAGTGTGGATTTGCTCTATAAAATAAACAATTCAAATGTTAAACGTTATTCGCCCGAGTATAATGCGAACTTTTTTCCTCCAGATACTTCCCTAAAAATTGACAGCGCATTATATTCGCGCATGTTCAGTTTTGTTAGGTAGTTTATCAAAAGTTACCACCGAAAATCATTAAAGCATCATTAAAGATTTCAAGGAATGTTGTACATCCAGTGCAATGAATGGGACGAATGATGACATCCTGTGGGAATCAGAAGAAGATGAAGCGAAGGTTCAAAGGAAGTAAATCCGATGGTAGCGACAATTCTAGCGATGACGAACATTTACGTGAAGATGAATGATTAGCTTAGTGTATTACCACGTATAAACTTGTCAATAAATTTTGTAAAATTGACACGTAAAAAAAAATTCAATGAAAGATTACCAAAAATGTTTAATACATCGATAGTTGTTTACTGTACTTAGAAACTATTCAATGCATTTTGTATAACTGACTTAACTCAGTATTGAAAAGTTCTCATTTTATGAGTAGTTCAACACATTTAAGTTACCAAGTTGTTTAATCTTAAGGAATCTCTTTACACTTATTGACCGTCTATTTTTAATACAAATACACTAAACACCTTAATAATGTAAAGCTCTGTGTTTCGGAGGCAGGCGGCCCTAGTTCGAACCCGT